TGTTCGATTAGCAGGAATATGCAGGATGCTCTGTCAAGTAGTTACCTCGGGGTGGCGTTATTTTTTTTTAATGTAATCGACATATTTTATATACCGAGGGTATCCAAAAGTTTAAACAAAAGGGTTGTTCAGCGGTCATCTCGAAAGATGAAAAAAAATAGCCGACCAATTAATAATTTGAAGCATGCCAACATAGTCATGTTTGTTGCTAGCTGTTTCAAGTTAAATTATATGAACATAGTGGTTGGTTTTATTACGCAACCCCTCCTGCTACCGAGTTTTTAAGAGAGATCGCGTAATTCTAAAAAGGTAGAGACAGAGATATTGAGATAGGACTTTTCTATTTCATTCATTCACCTTGTATAATACAATTGCATATATATATTTATATATATATATAGGCATTGCTATGAGTGCTTTCTATATTTATATTTAGTGACGGACCCAATTAGTGAGCAACCGGGCTGGGACTTCATGGCCGGCGGTTTCCTAACAGGTTTAACTGGTGATGTATTTATTTTCTTCGTGTGAGACCCGTTTGTACTCAACGGATTGGGGGCCGTTGTTGGGCGATCAGCCCCGCGCGCGCCACTCTATACGTGCATGTTTATACATAATATGTAAAGTTTATATGTATATATAAAAATTATTTACGTGTAAACTTGGTATATACACGTATATAATTTTTTATATATGCATAAATTCATACACATACACTTTTGATGTATAAATTTTTTATACATATAGACACATATACTTGGTATGTATACATATCAAAGAATATTTCTATGCATATAAACATCATTTGTATATATGCGTAAAGTTTATATTATACGAACTGACGCATATTACGTACCGTCCAACAAATAGCTGCGCGCCACCTCCCGCAAGCGTGACTACTCACTAATTAGCGACTTTGACAACCGATTGGCTCTTATAATATATTTTGATGCGATGGAAATTGTCCGCGGTAGTGCTGATGCAGTAATAGACATTGGCATATACTCCCTCCGTATAAAAAATGAACGTAGTACTGGATGTGATATATTTTAATACAATAAATCTCGATAGAGATGTCCAGATTCGTAGTGTTAGGATGTGTCTCACATCCAGTACTAAGTTGGTTTTTTATGGGACGAAGGGAGTAGTCTGATGCTAGCCAATGCTACTTCATCAGCAATGCTGTAGATCTGCGTCCGTTTTCTTGATCACTCTAATGTCTTGCAATGGACTTATATGTGGACATGACATTTTGCTTTGAAATATATAAATAGAATACAGTAGCAGCAGCAGTACTGCTGTAGCTAATAGCTCATATGGTCATGGCACTCTCTCGCTCTCTCGAATGACCTGATTTGGTGAGGGATATCAATCTATTGATTAAGTGCAATGTGGATAAAACAAATTTACAAATTTGAGTATAACAACCCTGCGTGCTGTTGATGTGTTCCCTGTAACGCAAATGAAAAGAACACTACAAGAACGAGGCGATAGTATTGCAAACGTAGGAAAGTTTTTCTAGAACTACATAATTGATAACGAGGCGATAGTACAACTAAATTGGTAGACACCAGTACAAGTAAGCTGTCCATTCTTGATAAGAACAACATGCAAACAAACAAATAATCTTACTTGATAACTCAGTTATACGCAATAATATTTATTTTCAGAAATATTGTTGTATGAAATATAAATTTAAAGAAATGAATTTTCAAATATGGAGCCTTCGATGCACAATGCGCTTGTGGTTTTTGTTTTTCCTAGAAAATCATATGTTAGTAATTACTCCCTCTATTCTAAAATAACTTCAACCTTAGCCTTAGGTGTGCAATAAACTTTGAAGAGAAAAATATCAAAGTGTTCCTTATTAATAGAAAAATAGTATTGATGGATGGGTAAATAAGCGTATTGATAGAATAAAACCCGCTGATTGACACACTAAGGATAGATAAAGGTATCCTCTATGATGATAAATATGGAACAGAGGGAGTAAAATGGAAGATTTACCTTCCATGTATTTTATTTAATGTGAGTATATGTTAGAGAAAATTGGAAAACTTGCAGATTAACTTTAACTCTTCCACATGGAAAAGAAATGAGCGCTTAAATACTTCAATTGCACGCATGCATAGATATAATAATGCTACATGTTTATCAATATAAAATGGAGAGAGTAGAAGTTAACTTATTTTACAAACAAATTGTGGAGACTAAGGATCCCTTAAAAATGGAGGATTGACAAAAAGAAATTTTGGAGGATTAGTTTCCCAAAGGATTTTTTTTCTATAGATCCATTTAATTCATAGGAAGAGGATAGGAAAATTTCCATAGGATTGCATTCCCATAATGAATTCCATAGGAAAATAAACAAGAAGTTTTGGATGAATTTTTCCCCTCTTCTCATTTTCCCTGTTTTCAATTTCTGTAGAATTAGAAAAATATACCACTTTAAATCTTGTGTTTTTCCTATCTGGCATAAAAATAATTTTAGGACTAAGTCAAAGAAAAATACTATGCAGATGATGTTTGGTTACAATATTTGTACGATATAGCGCCATGCCATTCACCTAGCAGTACTACTAAAGAGATTTTCCCAAACAGTCAAAATCAAATTTCCCATGCGGTTGAGCTAGCCATCTGCACGAATGGTCTATAAAGATAGCGATTTGCGTTATGCGTGTGCTTATGCAGACTGCATGAAAAAAAAAAGGCAAAAAAATATTTTTTAAAAACAAACAAACCCTAGCCCCTGCCACCACCCACTCCTTCACTAGTGCCGGCCGAGCCCACCGCTGCTGCTCCCAACGTCGCCGACGCCAGATCCGCCACCACTCCCGTCATCGCTGGCACTAGATCCACTGCTGCCATGCCTCCCGCGCCAGATCTACCAGTGCGCATAGGGGGCGGAGTGGCCACCGGATCCAGCCGCCGTCGCCGCCCGCCCATCGCCTTCACTTCCGAAGTCGGGGGCGGCGGATCTGCCCGCTCCCGCCACTGCTCCTGAGGTCAGGGACGGAGGATCCACGCGCCGACTGACATGTGCCCCCATCGCTGCGGGCCCTCGTCGCGCACGCGCTGCCGCTTGCCGCTCCCACCCGTACAAAGAATGGAGAAGAGAGAAGAAAACGAAAGAGAGCAGAGAGCAAAGGAGGCGAAGAGAGGAGAAAACGAGAGAGAGCAGAGGAGAGGGAAGGACAGGAAGAGAGAGAGAGAGGACAGGAGTTAAAAAAATTTGAAGTAGTAGAGAGGGAAAAGAGAGAGGAGGGGAGAAAATATCCACTTAAGAGGCACGCATGCGAAAATTTATTTTGCATGCGGTCAATTAAGAGGACCACCTAGAAAAATAGGCTCATTTTTACGTGTGACCCCTTAAGGATAGATTTTTGCATACGGGTATATTAAGGAGCCGTATACGAAAATGCGGTTTGGATTTTTACAGACACAGGATGTTACGGTCCTCTTGTAACTTATAAGGCTCTCGTATAGGAAAATCGTTTTTATAGCAGCTTATGAGAGGAATACCGGAACATGCAGCGGAAACATTTGATCGTAAAAACTATCGCAAAACATCTTATGTATAGCAGTTCTCTCGTAAGTCAAATATACTAGAAATTTAGCTTGCCAGTTGGCACGCTTGGTTTATAGCACGTGCATATTGTTAAGGTGTTATTTAGTGTATGGATTATGATAAAAACTTTGTAATGAGTATTAAACTCTGACTTAGTAGTGTCACTAGTGTGTAGCAAATCATATTATTCTGAATACCTTCAAATAAAACTACGTACGATAGTATTTTATTAAGAAAAAATATCTTTTAATATGTGATATTTTATTTTGAAATGAACTTATACAAACAATTAGATATAAATGTGATTTTAACGTTTTAAAATTGGACGGACTTTTTTTTACTTGTGAGGTGAATAAAGGTATTTATTTTGGTTCTAAAAGAACTTATTAATTTTCATTTCTTTTGAACTTCATCCTCATGAGTTCCCATCTCACCTCCCTCGTTTTTCGTGCGCAAATTGCTAAACGGTGTGTTTTTTGCTAAAGTTTTCTATACGAGAATTGCTTGAAAATAATAGTAAATATTTAATTAATTATAAGAAAATACATTGCTCTTTTTGCGTGTTTGGGAGGTGAGTTCACAACCTTACCTTCCGATCACGGTCTAAAGAGATATTGATGATTTGTTGTTGGGCTCGGGCGCTCAGCCAAGCTAACCCAACCGAATCTGGGGCGTGTTTGGGGGAGTTTCTAACTGTCGCAGCTTCTCCAAACTCTCCCAAAACAGTCTAGCTTTTGGTTTAGATTCCGAGAAACTGTAGATGTAGATTTTGATAAACTATAGTTGTGTAGAATCCAGAAAATAAACTAGAAGACAGAAGCTGACAAACCTAGCTTTTCTAGATTCTTAGAAGCTGACTACCAACCAGCTGCTTCTCAGAATCTTTAAGTTCCCTCCAACAGGCCCCGGTTTGCTTGCCATATGTGCAAATCAGGCCAACAGACACGAGGAGGCAAAACGGCAGACGTGTGCACGTATCACGGTGATAGGCCTACGCGCTATGTCTAACTTTTTTCCTTCTCTCCTGATATCTCCCGAGTTACTCGCTTACTCTTGACATACTCCCTCCATACTCATAAAGGAAGTCGTTTAAGATAATGTTTAAGCTAAACCTTGGGAATATAAATCATGAATAACTCTTAAGTTGTTGAGTTTGAAAAAGTAAAAACTATATGTATAGATTTGTCTTGAAAAATACTTTCATAAAAATATACATATATCACTTTTTAATAAATATTTTTATAGAAATAAGAAGTTAAAGTTGTGTTTTGGAGACCGTTTCGCTGTCCTAAATGACTTCTTTATGAGTATAGAGGGAGCTTCACCTGTTGCTTTGCGCCACGTGTCATAACTATATAGGTGGGTTGTCAGCTCGACCAATAAGCTGGCGGGTCTCCCCGTCAGCTACAGAAGTATAGATAGATGTGCATTGCTACCGAACACACAAACAATAAAAATGGATGAGGGAGACAGATAGGCAACCCATCAAATGCCATCGCGAAGTTTCTCAGTTGTTTTTCAGTTGTTGGCCACCTAAGCAGATCAAGGACGACCGGCGACTTGTCAATGCATACGTCCAAGGTTAGGTGCCGATGGAGTATGTAATAATCCCATACCCGGAAATCAGACCCAAAAAAATTTCATATTCTCATCTCCGATGTTTGATCTGCATCAGGAATTGACGACGGATCATGAGCCGCCGGTGGTGGAGCTCACCACGGACGCGGAGTACGCGCAGGAGCAGCCCCGGCTCGTCCGGTTCTTTGGCACGACCATCGTGCTGAGCCTGGGGCTACTGCACGCCGCTTGCTCCCTGCACTGGGCTCATCGTCCTCTCCCTCGCGGCGTCGGCACGGCCGCGTTCGGCGCCACTGCGGTGCTGTGCCTCGCGGTGGGCGCGGTGTCGCTGCTGCTCTCGTGGAGTGCTGCGGCGAGGATGACGGCGACGAAGGCGCTGCCCACGCGGCGTGTCGAGCGGCGGCTGCTCAACCGGCTCTGCGCCGCGGTCCACGCGTCGTCCGCGCTGCTCATGCTCGCGCCGGTCGGCCTGCTGGTGCTCGTCGCCGACAAGGCGTACGCGTTCGCCGTGGTCGTGCCGTTGGGGCCGGTGGGAGCGAGCCTCTTCCCCGTCGTGCGCAATGGAGCCCGCTTCGGCTTCGCCTGGGGCGCGGCGCAGTACGAGGCTCACGAGCATGACCTCCGGCGCTACTTCGGCCTCGCCGCCGGCGTCACAGTCCCCACCTACGTAGCGCTACTTTCTCATGCCGTCTCCGATCATTTCAGGCCGGCCGGCTCGGCTCAACGCCGGCACCATGATCTGGGCGGCGTGGACGCCGTCGAATGCCTCCTGCTGTACGCGTCTACCGCTGGCCTTGCGCTGATGCTTCTTGCGACGTCGCCGCCGGCGCTGTGCTTCCGTCACACGAGGGCAGTTGTCGTGAACCATTTCCTCGGCGTCCTCGCCGACGCGCTGCTGGCGTTGGTCGGCCTCGCCGCGCTCGTGGCCACGGCTGAGATCGCAGGTGGCTTGGCAGCATTGGCACCGACCACTAACGTCATAGCCGCATGTGCCATATTTGCGAAAGAGCACGAGGACGAGCCGGACCGTCGTGGGCAAGACGATACCAAAGATCACCTTTGTTCATCGTCATCGTCGCGACAGCCCGTGGCGCCCCTAGTGGTGAATTCGCTGGCGTTCGGCACGGTAATGCTGTCCTACTCGGCGCTTGATGGCGGCCGTGCCTTCAGCTGGCCGGAGAAGGCCTGCCTCGTCGCCGTCGCTTCCCTGCTCGTCGGCAACCTTAGCCAGATGGCGCTGCAGCGCCGCGCCGTCCGCACGGATAGCGTGGTCACCACTGCACTGTCCCTCTTTGACAAGGTTAATAAGGTGACGTTGCTGATTGCTGCATTGGGTTGTATGGCTGTGTTAGCTACGCACAAAATTACTGCATCCCACTAGGTATAGCTAGCTAACCGACGATCGAGGACCCGACTACGAGACTTACTCCTTCCGTCCCAAAATATAATTAAGTAGTTTCGGTTGGATGGAACACGTCCTAGCTAGTACTACGAATCTAGATAGACAGCCCATCGAGATTCCTAGTACTAGCTAGGAAATGTCCAATCCAACCAAAATTCTTTATATTTTGTAACGGAGGGAGTATATGTTGTTGCATGCGATATATGGTCTAGATGTTATATCCAGGAGAAGTTTTTTTTATGATATTTGAGGAGGTATCATAAGGTATGTGCTACCATTTGTAGACAACAATAAGTGTAGTAGATCTTACTACCTTCGTAACGACCATAAAAGAACTGATCTACATAGGGTGACGTTGTTGTTGTAATCTAGCTTGTAGTTCAGGTTTTTTTTCTTTCAATTCTTATTTCACCTAGCTAGTAGTATGATGTACTGTATGGTCGTGTGCTAATGTCTCACTTCTGCAGGAAAAGCCCATATGAGACTATGATGTACCATCAAAAAACTCAGTTGTTTCTGCAATCAGTTAATCAGACCTAGTTTGAATTTTTTTAACGCTTTTAATTGATTTCATAATTATAGTGTGTGCGTGCTTAATTCTAGTTAACTGAAAGATGCAAATGTGTTTGGAAATACTTCTCGTATGATTCTTTTGCTTTGCGGTATTTATCTCAACAATTTTCCGTTTTATCAATCACCTGATTTGTTTTTTTTTCTTATCCCCGAGTGATCTCCTAAAATTGCACAGGCGATACACTCTAGAGCCCACAATACAGAGTAGATATGTACTGCAACTTTTATCATGTTTTGTTTATTTTCTTTCTAGATTATTTAATCTATATATATTGTTATGATATATAACTAAATTATACAAGTTTTATTTCATTGTTGGTAATATCTATAGCAAGCATATATATTTTAGGTCTAGGTTCACCATGAGGCAAAGATATCAATACTACAAAACCCTAATGGGTGCCGGTTGAGAATCCCACATAGGTGTCTGATTACCTAACCGATACTTTGCAGGCAACACTGATGAGAGAGAATCAGATGTGCCGATTTACGGCAATTCGAACAAAACAAAAAGGTCGGCTCGACTCGAGCTGTTGCATCGAGTAGGTCCCCATCACTCCCAAGATCGATCAACATCCAAAAACACAATCACAGAGTTAACATTGAAAAATAAAATCAACATCCACATATTAACAACAAAATCCAAGAACACAGAGAGGAGGCTACCGCGCCGCCGCTCATTGTCATTGAAGTCCGTCATCGAGCGGGCCAGCCCTGAACACGCTGTGGCCGATCCGGCCATCCTCGAGCTCGTGACGGACCCGGTGGACAGGAGGAGGCGTGGCAGCTGAGAGGCTGAGTGAGAGTGGGGAGTGAACAAGAGGGGTGAATGGACTAGTCGTCCATAAAAGACTAGGCTGGCTCGATTGGTCCTTGGCTTAACTACCTCAGGGGTGTTAGTTTTCTTAAAATCCGGCACCTACATTTTTATTTGTAAACCCATATTAGATGTTGGAAAGGCAAGGCAAGGAAAGCCCTCAACAGCACCATGAAATTGCTGCACCATCGTCCCAACGTTCTTATACATAATTCACACACAATCCCCCCCCCAGCCCCACTCCTACTACAGTGCCAATTTCCACTACTGAAGAATTGATCTTTGCCCGAATGGCAAACATCACATTTGTCATGGTTCGAATAGGAACTGGTACTAAATAATATCTTTAGCCCCGGTTCAAAAGCCCAACAACACTTTATGATCTTTAGTCCTGGTTGGTGTTACCAACCGGGACTGAAGATCATTTTTAGTTCTGGTTCAATAGTTGTCAGTGGTGTCAGGCATAACCAATCTTGTCCCCTTATCTTCCCTTATTTTCTCTTCCTTAGGCTATCACCAATGCGGTGCTTCAGCCCATGCCCCTAGCGACGGCCGTCCACTTTTCCGTCGGCGTCGTCCCTCTGCGAGAGAGCACGTCCCTCAGCTGGGAGACGCGCCCCCCAACTCCTTTTCGCCCAGGCGCCAGTGAAAGGAACCTGTTGCGTGGGTACGGGTGCTTGAGGCAATGCCCCCCAAGCGAGGATTTCCTCTTCCACCCCTCTCCCCTCTCCTCAAGCTCCTCGGCGACGACCTGGGGACGGAGGGAGAGAGGCGCGTGGCACGGCGGCGGCCCTCCTCTGGCGACGGGAGAGAGACGCGGCGAGGGAGAGGAGGCGCGGCAGCGAGAGGGCGAAAGGCGCCGCTCACCTGCACCTCGGCTTCCTCCTCCGGCGCCGGCGCCGTCTCCTCCCCGATCTGGCCGCGGGGGGGCCAGATCCGCCCACGAAAGCGGGGTCGGTGACAGCGGCGGGGTAGGGAGGTCGTCGACGGCGGCACAGCAGGGAGATCGGCAACAATGGCGGGGCGGAGCCGGCGCGGGAACGGGGCGAGGCGCACCGGGCTCGCTTGCCGAGTCCTGGTGCGAGGCGGAGAGGAGAGCTCGCGTGGAGTCCGGCGACGGAGATGGCGAGGAGAGGAGAGACGAGAAGCGGAAGGGAGGGGCGAGTACGATGGAGACGAGAGAAGCCAGTTTGGTAGATAGAGTAAATGAGTGGAAGAGAGAGAGAGAGAGAGACGAGGAGGAGGAGGAGGAGGAAGTGCCCGCATGCGAAAATACAATTTTCACAAGCGGTTGCTCTACCCGCATGCAAACACTGTTGGAAAACCCTTCTTTAGTCCCAGTTTACAACCATCTTTAATCCCGGGTTGCAAACCTGGACTACAAATCCGGAATTAAAGATGTCCATCTTTAGTCCCGGTTGAAATAACCGGGACTAAAGTTAGATCTTTAGTCCCAGATAATGTTACCAACCAGGACTAAAGATGGTAGCGGCATTCCCGGTTGGTCACTATTTTTTTCTTTTTTTTTTATTGTTTCTTTGCTGCTTGTATTTTGATTTTTCCTTCGAGTTGATCCCAAAATGATTTTCCCAAATCGAGTGCCCCACATGCATATCCCCAAATCAAAGTAACATCACAAATCATTTATTCATATAACAAATTCTCAAAAAAAAAATACATCACAAATTCTAAAAGAAATGCATCACAGATTACACATCTCATATCCATACAATCAAATCCATGCAATGAATCACAAATTCTAAAAAAAACAAGAAATAACAAACAAAATCCGGCGATGCCGCTGTAGCCTCCCTCCTCCCCTCCGGCAGAGTGGAGGGGCCGCCATCCCCCTAGTTCGAGCGAACCCCCCCATCACCGTTGATCCTGGGGTTTGGTGTGGACGCTCCAGATCACTCCCTAATGGCGGTTGCGGGGTATTTCGGACATTTTCGCTACGCCAACCGTCATACCTACCTCTATATAAAGGCTTCACTCCCTCACTTCACACACACACTTCCAAGCTTGAGCTGAATTATAAGAAGCTCTATTGTACTATATTGTACAGTAGAACAGGAAGAGTGTAGAGTAGGAGTCAGAAGAATTCTGGAGTTGTCGTAAATCTTCTCCTATTTCTTTTATTCTGTTTATTACTCTGAATTCAATATAATATTCTTCTTGAGTAATTTAGATTTATCTTGTGAGAATTATCTCTTAGTTAGTTCCTCAGTAGCATACGGGATTATTGTTCACTATAATCAACTATAATATAGTGATTGCTTTGGTGAGTTCTAAACACTAAAGTAGATATTAATTGCTTAGACGTGGTGTTTAGGTAATTGTTATCCAGTAATTGCTGCATACCCGACAGTACGTTTGAGGTGGGTGTAGAGGTGGTGACAGCCCTCGAGATCACTTAAGTCCTCCCTGTCCGGGTACGTAGTAGAGCGACATCTGGGAACAGCAGGTTGCCAGTGCCTGAAGTATTGCATTAGGATTAAAGTTAAGCTTTCCCTAGACACTGTTTCTCACTAGAAAATCCTCTCTATCCTGGCCTATCATCTGCTTGGTGTCCTTGGATGAACCGGAGGAAGATCTGACCACACACGTTCCCTTGGATTCGATACCCTTGGAATACTCCGTAGGGGAAATGCTACATCGGTATATTCGTGCGCTTGTGGATTTTATCTGTGATTGTAAGAAATACCAACAGGGAGCGCACTAGGTGAGGTCACTAATAAGACGATGCATGTCAACAAGGGAGGAGGAAACCCTAACCCTAGCGGTATCACATCAATCTAGCTAGGAAAATCTTGTGTTTCCAAATTATATATATATATATATATATATATATATATATATATATATATATTTCATTTTTTCCCTATCCCTTTCAGTACTACTACAGAAAAGGGGATAGGTGCTAGTTGGGATCTGATAATAGGTGCCAGATTTTCCAACTGGCACCCTGATAGCGGCACCTTTGAGTCTCCTCAATGGTGCCGGTTCCTAAACCAGCATCTTTGAGGCCCGACATGTTGAGCAACTCCCGGTCACCCCGACCAGATTTCATCAAACATTTAATTCATATAACGAACATTTAATCCAAGAAGAATGAAAGAGCACTAAGAATACAAGAACATCAAGACCCCTCTAGTGGTGAAGAGGTGGTTCTACGACACCTGCCCGGTGCCAATCCCTTTGCCATTCGCCAACCTCAAGCACATCATCCCACGACGCTAAGGCCCCGTTTGGCACAGCTCTAGCTCCCAACTCCAACTTATCTGGAGCCGGAGTTGTGCCAAACGGTCCAGATCCTCCTTTTTTTTGGAGTGGAGTTGGCAGAGCTACTCCTAGAAAATGAACTACGGGGGTGGAGCTGGGCTTTTGCTGCTCCACAGCTCCACTCCACCCCAAAAGACCCACTACCCTCTAATTTTTTAGAGTATTTACACGAAAATGCCACTCAACTACCCCTACAATCCTCCTTTCCTCATCTCGTTCTCTCTCCTCCCCTCCCAATCCCGAGCAGGCGCCGGCGACGGCGGGCGCCGGCGGCAACGGGCAGCGGCAGCGGTGGCGGCGGGACGACGACAGGCGGTGACAGGCGGCGCGGTGTGACGATGACGAGCGGGCGGAGGCCGGCGGCGGCGGGCTGCGGCAGCGTCGGCGGCGGGGAGTTGCGGCGGCGGTGGGCTGCGGGACGAGGACGGGCGGCGCGCGCGGCTAGGGCCGATTGGTTTTGTTTTTTTTTTCATTTTTTCATTTTTTTTTCAGATCTAGAGCTGAAAGTATAGCCAAACACTTTTAACGAGTTTTCAACTCCAACCGGAGCTAGCTCTTACTGGAGTTGGAGTTTAGAGCCCTACCAAACGGGGCCTAACACACACAACCAGTGGAAGAATGCTTATTCCCTTTCTCTGTGGAGAGCATGATGAAGCTCAAGGATAAGGCGAACAGAGAGCCATCAGGCCGACTAGAACTGCTCGTCCATCGTGACCACCACCGCCACCCCACCAACCGCCTTCCTTCTCACCGGATCTAGCGGAGGGGAGAATGCTGCCATTTCCCCTCCAGCACGACCGGGCGGAGAGAAGGGTGCCTCCGCCTCCCGTCCCACCAGATCTGGTGGAGGGGAGGGCGTCGCCGCTGAGCCGCCGACGCCAAGTTGGGGGGACCGATGGAGAGAGCACACACACAGAGAGAGAGAGTGAGTGAGAGAGAGTGAGAGAGAGAGAGGAGAGGAGAGGAGAGAGGGTGTGGTGGAAGAGGGGATAAGGACGGAAGAGAGAGATGAGGAGGAGGAGACGTTAAGACTGGAGGCCATCGGTTCAGCTCGGCTCGATTTTTGGGTGCTAGTTATAATACTCATGTAATATATCGGATACATAACGGTTGATTATTCTCCCCAGTAATATAACGGTTGGACATTGGAATCGACACTACTATGGTGCCATCAGTATCGCTTCTTGCATGAAGAGAGCACACACGAGTTACAGGGATGAAAAAGTCTTGTCAGTGTAACACCACAAGTTTACAAACAAAGTAACAGGACCTACCCTCAAAAAATAAGTGAGTAACAAATAAACAACAACATCAAAATTTGTGTTGCAATATAAGTATTATAGGTGTCGATTTTTAATTACTTGACACCAATAATATATTAAGGATTCCGATTTTTAAAAAAAACCGTCACCTATAGTATAGGTGCTGGTTTTTCTTTAGAGCCGGCACCTATAATTACTTAAAGTGTTGGTTTTTTACGTTTTCAACATGAGGAGGTAGGAAAATATGTATATATAGATGTCGGTTTAGTTTCCCTGTTTGATTTTTTTTACTATGTGAATTGTACTATCTTTATTTTCATATTATTGGACGTTTTAGGTTTTGGAATAATTTATGCATGAATTTATGTATATGATTTTACATATGTTGCAAATTTATGGATATCAGTAAATCTAAGATAATGAATGAAGAGGCCAAACATTATTACATGAAAAGTAGGGAGTAGTCAATGAGAGAGTAGAAAGGAAAAAAAATCCATCTAATGTGATAAACTACAGTTTGATTGGGCGTGCATGCAACCTCCACGTGTGAAGTAATCACACGTGAACTACTCCTGGTCCTAATCATCATCTAGTCCGAAATTTTCATGCATGTGATGAGACTGGGAGCTAGTGTCAATCATGACTCATGTTCTCTCTGCATTAATTAACTGTTGAAGCAATAGTTATCCATCTGCCAGCCACTGAGACCGGGAGTGTCAGTCATGTGTTCTCCCTTTGCATTAATTAAGGCCCGGTTTAGATCTTAAATTTTTTTAGCTAAAACGTCACATCAAATTTTCGACGATATTAAATGTGTAAAAAACTAATTGTACAGTTTATACGTAAATTACGAGATAAATCTTTTAAATCTAATTACACTATAATTTGACAATGTGATGCTACAGTAAACATTTGCTAATGACGAATTAATTAGGTTTAATAAATTCATCTCGCAGTTTACAGACGAAATCTGTAATTTATTTTGTTATTAGTCTGTGTTTAATATTTCAAATGTGTTTGTATACTTTAAAAGTTTTACATCAAAGAACTAAACACACCCTTACTGTTGAAGCAATAGTTATCCATTAAACCAGCCTAGAAAGTAGCGACATTTTCTGGTCTGTTTTTTTTTTTCTGAACAGGAGGACGTCACCTAAAGCCCCAATGGCTTATGTCACTCTAGCCCAACATATACTCTGTCTCACAAAATGTGCAACCCTAGAATCCCAAGATAAATTTAGGATTAGTGATAAAAGACCAAAATGTCCTTAGTAGCGACATTACAACTAATCATTAGCCCTTACACAGACATCCAATAACTAAGTAATATATTATTAGTCATATATGCTGCCATAATGGCTCCATATACAAAACACACAGGCAACAACTAGGACAGCAAAAATTTTCAAAAAAAATAATTTCTTATATATTCTCCTCCCAATCACATCATTTGCATAAAATATATACATTTCGATAGAATCAGTGATCAAGAAATACATATATTGCAACACAAATTTTGATGTTGTTGTTTATTTGTTACTCACTTATTTTTTGAGCGTAGGTCACTTGTCCTGTTTGTTTGTAAACTTGTGTCACATTGACAAGAATTTTTCATCCCATGAACCCGTGTGTGCATGTTCTCTTCATGCAAGAAGCGATACTGATGACACCATACACTACTGGAGAATTAATATTTGCTCGGTAGATAAAAATCATATTAGTCCCGATTCAAATAGAAACCAGAACTACAGAAGATCTTCGGCCCTGGTTAAAATGCTGAACGAACTTTTTGATCTATAGTCTCGATTGGTGTTACCAACCGAGACTAAAGACCATTTCTACTCCGGGTTCCAAAAGTGTGAGACCCCCACAATCTTTAGTCCCGGTTGGTGTTATTAACCGGGAGTAAAAATCGACGCGTTGTATATAATCCCTCACATTTATCCTCTCCTCCTCACAAACTCCTCCGTCCGTCCTCATCTTTTCCTCCTCTCTCCTCTCTCTCTCCTCCCTCTCGCGGGCACATACACACGTAGCAGCAGCGGCGAGGGCTAGGGGTCGCCATGTGGAAGGCTGGGGGCGAAGTGATGGTGGGAGGGAAGGCGGCGGGCGGCGGCGGCCTGTGCGGCGGTGGAGCGACAGTGGCTTGACGGTGTCAGCGTGGCCGTGCGGCGGCTCACGAGGTGGCGGCACACGAGGAGGCGGGCGCCGGGCGACAGGCAACAGATGATTTGTGAATTTAAGAATTTTAGGTGATTTGTGAATTTGTGGATGATTTTGTTGTTGAGTATGTTCACTAGCTCTGTGATGTCTGATTGGTGAATTTGTGGATGATTTTGTTGTTGGGTATGTTTATTCAATCTGTGATGTCAATTTGTTTGTGGGGATTTAGGGATTTCAATATGCAATCATAAAAAAAAGAATGAAAAAAAGAAATAAAAGACATTTAATCCTGGTTGGTATTAAATTAAGATGATAGCACACCCCACGTGGCACTCATCTTTAGTCCCGGTTGGTGTTACCGGATTAGATGTCCCGGTTTGTAACTCGGGACTAAAGATGAGTTGCCCAGCAGCCATAGTAGTGTTGATTCCAATGTCTAACCGATATATTACAGGGGAGAATAATCAGCTGCAATGTATAACTCGTCGGCTTTGATATCCCACTCAATAAACTAGCACTAACAAGTGCCTCATTTATGTTGGTTCTACTGACCTTTACCATATATTAGCGTTGGTTTGTGATATGAACTTGGATAGACAAATGTTATATGAAAATTATAACCGTCGACGAAGATACATAAATCCATGCACAGTTTAATTTTTTTGTTAGAAAGCGAAAATATGCAATTGTTAACATAAATGTTATGCAGGGTGAGTTGATAAAAAGTGGGTATATATGAGGGATAGGTCTCAAGTTTGAATTCCCCAATGAAATGATATGTATCTGAATTGTAAAAATAGGTACCAGTAGTTGGGACCATACATATACAGATAAAAATAGTTTGTAAGCCACCGACACTGATGAGAAAATGACACCAACACTACTAGAGCCTGAAGTTTATGTTTAGTCAAGGAATCGGACCGTTGCGGTTTCTATATAGCAGTGTTACTAGCCTATCTATTAATGCAACAAGCAAAATTAATTTGTCGACTTTTGCCATTTCTTTAAAAGTAAAATGGCTAACATCACACCACCACACCATATGCATAACATATATACCTTAATTCAATGTTGCGATGTCCATCGCAACATAGTTAACACTACACATAATATTTTATTTTTGGATGTATATATACTAATGAAGCACTAATAATCAAGCCCCAAGATCAAACACGCTCTGCGTACAGTGCCAACTCGAAAGCAAAGATTCCTTCTCGTCTGCAGCTGCACGCCATTAACCACTAGTGAGTAACTTATTAACGGTTGAACTGACATCACCGACGTTCTCAGGCCTGACGTCACTTCGGTCCGTCGGCACGGTAGTCACGATTACCCTTCACAATCCAGCTGGTGCCTGGTACTGGACGCCACGCACTCACTGGACGAGTTTATACTCAGCTCCATCTTAAATAAAACCAATCTAGAATTAAATTTAACACAATTTATTACAACGAATCAGGATATATTTATATTCAGATTAGTTGTATTAAATTGTATCAAATTCAATTTTATATTTGTTTTTTTTTTCTTTTGATGGAAGGAGTGCGTACGACACAACAAACAACAACAGTTGCTCGATCCAAAGCTGAAATCACCCGGAACACAATTAATTAATTAATTAAGCGCATCTCGATCATTGAGGAGGTCTGGCTGCTTTAAACACGTGCACCCAACCCTTCACTGTCAGATCCATTTCTCTGCCTTTGCCGGGTTCCATTTCTCTGCTTTCCACCATTCGCAGCTTGGACGATAGCGCTGTACGTACCGTGCTATTGTTCACGTACCTGCAGCGCACATATTTATTTGTAAGACGATAGATCATTTAATTTTAGAAATTCGCGCCCGGAAAATGTACACACATAAAATTTTCAAATTTATGTGTTTTATGATTATATATATTGTACTCCATTCAGAAACACATGTTTTATACGTACGTCGATAAATAGTAAAACCTAAAATGTCGTTGATAGATTTTAAAACCAAAATTGAACAATTATGAATTGGTTGGTAAAACGTTTACGTAATAAATGTACTTGCAATTTGACTAATTAACTGTAACTAATATATATTCCATTAATTAAGATTGACTTCTCCTAAATTGAACAAAAGAATTGAAGTGCGTAATAATAGCTAGCGTTAGATGGATCAGAACACATAAATGGAGAGTGTATAACATACTATAATAGATAAGGATTTTTTATTGTGAAATACAGGAATTTTTTTTCCGAGAGAATTGAGTTGATCACTATAGAAATTAATCCTACAAAATTCATACCTAGCCCAACAGTAACATGTACTTACCCTTCCCCATTCCCTCCTTCGTTTTCCCCAACGACTAGGCACTGCAGATTATTATCGCTCCATGCTTGCAACAGCGCTGTGGCTGGGTCTTTTTTACACTCGTATATAGTCCCCCTGACATCCACCTGCATGAGGATAGATTTGAACTGATTTTACTCTAATACCATCCATAAAAATACTCCTAAGGCCATGTTTGGTAAATCGATCCCCAAGAGATCGAGAGGGATTAAAACAGATTTATTCCACGTCTATTATGGTGTGAAATTATTCTCCCTCGGACCCCTCCAATCCCCTTCAACCCCGTCTAAACCAAATAAGACCTAAGTGAATTGATACAAAATGTTTCATGGTTTGTATTGTTTTTTTCTTTTACCATGATGGATATATATACTCCTTTTGGGATCGACCCCTAGACTGAAAAAAAGAGAGTATGTTACACAATAAAGTTTCTTACATTAAATATTTTAGAAAATTTGCATTAAATGTGCCAAGCAAACAATACTGAGTATCCTTCAGTTGATAAATTTTATAGCATGGTCGATTCGTGTAAGTGGTTTGTTATTATATGTGGGAGTATACTCCTCGAGAGTCCAGTGAAAGGATTACAGAAATAATTGGTATGCTATATACTCCTGTAGATAACCTTAGAATACATTGAAGATGATATATAAATGAGTCCAAACGCATATATATGAATGTAGGACATAAAGTATACTATATGCATACACGGACAAGTACATACTCCCTCTATTTTTAAATATTTGACGCCGTTGACTTTTTTAAATATGTTTAAATTCAAAAAATCTAAGTAATTATTAATTCTTTTCCAATCATTTGATTCATTGTTAAATATACTTATATGTATACATATAGTTTTACATATTTCACAAAAGTTTTTGAATAAGACGAACTGTCAAACATGTGCTAAAAAGCCAACGGTGTAAAATATTTAGAAACGGAGGGAGTATATAATACCAATTTCCTTCACCATCTCACGCAAACACACACTTTGTTATCTTGATGATGAAACCCGACGGAACAAAAAATAATGTAAGATGCATAAGCATGCAGGGCATAAATATTTTGCGTATGAACTTTACCTTTTTAGCAAACGACCAGGCGCGTATTACGACCTCAGACCAGAGCGCTTGGTCACTAAGTTCCCCCATTCTCTCAAATTCTTGGAATGATAGGGCTGGTTAAAAATATTAAGAAAAAAAATTAAATTAAGTAAAATACATATTAATGTCTAGGCGGCTAGTTAGTACTCCATCCATTCCCAAATATAGCAACCTAGCTAGTTATTAGGAAGGATTGGGCAGAACCTACTACAATGAACGTGGACACAGAGGGAGTAGTTTTTAGCCAAAGTTTGTAGAGAAAATATAACATTGTATTAGTATAGTACAATTAATAAAGCGTACCATAATAATGAATATTATTATTTTAACGAGCAGATACAGTAGTATATTCCATCTGTTTGAAATTATTTGTTATTCTAGTTTTGTCCTAAGTTAAATAATGGTATGTTTGATTAAATTCATATAGTTTAGTATCATATGATTTATTTTTTCAGATTTATCATGAAAATACTTTTATAAATTCAAAATTTACGTGTTGTTGAACTAGACAGATTTTTAGAAATCGATGGTCAAAGTTAAAGATTACTAACTTAGTACAAATCTAAAAATGACATGTAATTTGAAATGGAGGGGGTAGTTTGTTTCGTTTCCTTAATCATGGCCAAACCACTGATGGAATATTGGACGTACTGTTTCTTCTTTATGATCAGATATGGAAAATAGGATGAATTAATAATGATCGTTTTAGGGAATAAAACAAGAGTGGAAAAGAAGGAAACAAGAGAGGAAAACTGTAATAGCCAATTGTTCGATAAAAGAATTTAAGATCCTAGCTAACTGTATAGCTACATATAGGCATTTCGTTAAGATTATACATATATATTCGTCTCAAAAATATCGATGGTTAAGCAAGGAATATATTTTTCAGAGACCATGTCAATTTCCGAAGTATCATTTTTCTCTCTATATATACATATAATCTGCCCTGCGTAGGAAAGTGCGAGAGTCAATACAAATTGCCACATTTTTTTAAAAAAAATGCGTCAAATCTATCGTTATTTCCTGAAGCTGACCAAAAAATGAAGACATGCATTAATTGCGGCATAAACGGTACGTACAGAAAACAGAAAACAGAAAGAGAGGACACACAGAAATACTATAAACTATATATGGTACGATCGAGCAGATATATTACGTACCACTGTAACGTTTGATGAGGTCCCGATCATTACTGCCATTGTTCTCCCTTACTTCAATAATGTGGAGAATGCCACCGAGCTGATCTCGATCTTCTCTGATCTTGTCCTCAATCCACTTCATTGTTACGGGCCAGTGTTTTGTAGAGAAGTCGACAACCAAACCAGTTCCCACCATTATATTTCTCTCTTATCTCCCTGGCTAAGCTATATCAAGATAATTAATTAGCTAGGGATCCACGAACACAAGCTAGCTAGCCTGCATCTGCATGCAGAAAACTTTGGTAATTAGCTTCCAGAGTTTGGAAGCTCTATTTATAGATCTAGCCGAGCATGCAGCGAGCAGCGGCAGCTAAGTGTAGTAGTAGCTTCTCGTCGGTCAAGTGGGGGCCGGGAGCAGCTGGCCGGCACCGCGCCGGTTGGGACCGATCCACTTTGGAGTTAATTTGGATCTTTCTTTGTTCGACATGGTGGCGAGCGATGATGATCAATATTAATTTGCAATGCCTTTAAGTAGATCGAACAAATAGGAGGCGTCGCGTGCATCAACATGGAGTATTAATTCGATCAAAATTAGTAGTGCGGCCAAGCACGCATGAATGAATTAATGCATTGCTTTTGCGACTCAAGGGGAATGAAAAGGAAGCTTCGATCCAGCTTTCTTAATCCCCGACATCATTAATTCTAGAGTGAGCTTTAATCTGATTTATCAAATGTAGGGAATAATTCAGTCCACGGGTAGTCAACCAAGAAAATTCTCTTCCGGCTAGTCAAACCAAAGGACTGCAATCAAATGTTGGTTACGGATTTTTATTTGTTTGCAAGGAGCAGCTTCCAGCTGCGTGCGTATGCATGCATAAATTTGCAGTCACGGGATGAGGGAATCTCCTCATCGTACTTCCAATTGTACTAAGAAATGAACGGCGCACCTACTAAAACAATTATACTTTTGCGCCTTTAATTTAATTTGCTGCATTCATCAGTACTTTTGTGTGGTATAAGACTTCATTTTTTTTCTAATTAACTAGGACGGAAGCCTGCTCATATGTGTCAAATCCTTACTTAACATTCCATCAACTTTATTAATATAAATATGTGAGTATTTAATTTTAGGTGATTTTGAAGTTATGATATTTACTCACAAAAAATATTTGGAATTATGTAACATACCCGAATTTTAGAATTAAGGAATTTTCGTCAAAACTAGTTGAAAGGAAAGTTCTCCAAATTTATGAACAAAAAATTTTCATTTTAAACCTAGGTGAAGTTGATCTAACTCATATAGCTAAATAAAATTTGAGGGCAAATTAAAACTTTTTCATTTATAACCTAGGACAAAAATTCAAACACAAGTGTAAGCATGCATACTTGCATAAGACATGTTTTGATTTGAGACCTCTTTGCGCAATTTGGATTTTTGTTTGGTATTGCATGTTAGGTCTCATGAGCATAAATAAAACATAAAATTTCATTAAGCAAACCTATAACCACTTTTAAGCAGTAATAATAAATAAATAAAATCACCTCAGGTCAAGAGAGTCTAAATATAATTTTTATAAATAACTAGATGCATTTATGAGGAGGAAACACATATATAAAGATAAGTCTTGCTAATTATCTAAAATAATTCATGCAAGATAAAAACATGGGAAGATTTATGTAGGCACTACTCAATACATATAACTCACTGTAATTTTGGTATAATTTAATAACTAATTTTGATACCTCAAATAAATCAGTCAAACCAGTTAAATAAGTCAAACCAGTTAAATAGTAGACTAATTAAAATCCTTAATCGGCTAAAACCTACCCTCACCAAAATGTGCACTAAGCTGTATAGAAGTGCATGAGTGAAATAATTTATTCAAATACTAGGTCATTTATCATGAATAAATATAATTTTTCCAGAATTTATCCTCTCTGTTTAGGTCTTCTAAAAATTCAAACTAGTTTCCAATGAGCCTATCTTCTCCTAATTTTTGTGAGCAATCTATCCATAATTTTTGAGTGCAACCAAAAAAAATGGAAACTAGATGCATTCACCCACCTCCGGTAAAAATCTACATGAATTTACCTACACCACAAATTAATCTATGAATTAACAAAGATGGGGAAAAGAAAAAATCCTGGAAATAAATGAAAAACGTCTTTCACTCATGTTCATACCCATCCCTCACACCCACACCTAGCAACCATTGCCCTGGACCCACCTGTCATTGTCCCTAGGTCACCCCATCTCTGTATCTGTTCCCCAGCCGACCAAGAGACACCGAGGGAAAGAGAGAGCGAGGAGGAAGCGGTGCCGACTGGCACTGGACGCGCGCGACGCGTGGCCGAGACGTGGCAACGCCAAGCCGAGCCTCCTTCTCCTCCCAGCCGCATCGCTCATCCTCACTCCTCACTCCAGTGGCGATCAAACCGAGAGAGAGAGAGAGAGCCCTCAAACTTACCATCACTCAAGAACTCGTCGCCGGCCATGAGAAAGATGAAAGCTTCCATCGACGTCAAGCCGCGCTCGACATCAACTCTTTTCCGTTCCATACTCTCCTCACCATGCCGAAGATTTCTCCTTTTGATTTCATCCTCTCTCATGCAGTGAATCAACGGGAACGCCGCTGTGTCATCGCCGGCCTTGGGGCGTGCTCTGCGCGACGCCGTCGTGACCTCGTCGCCGATGCCTCTCTCGGGTTAGCAAGGGCGTGGAACCAACTTATAAGGTCTTGTCCCTCCAACGATGCCTCTCTCGCGTTAACCCTTTTACATGAAGCGAGGACAAAAGTGTAGATGGGTTGATATATGTAAGTGGACCCATCTGATGGGCTGGCTACTCGGTTCTGGAGGGAGAGTTGTTACAGCTATGGTCTGCTTCAACTAACTACATGGTGTAACATGGGTTGTTAAAGCTATATATGGTCTGCTTTGATTAACTACATTGTGTAACATCCGTCCCCTGCTGCATGGGAGCGCTGCACCAGGAAATCGAACGAGGCCAATATCCATAATACATTACAATCAATTTATATATATGTAATATATAGCTGTAGGTGTCGGTATGTTTTGAGATACATAAGAAGGTTCAATATGTCCATTAGCTCAAACCTCCAACATCAGCACCAAAATATGGCAACACGTTTAATATCTTACCATACAAAAGAAAATTACATCTCAATTACGACTCTTCATCTTGGCTAATAAGCACTTAACAATTTAGCAATTATATAGTGGCCTTTATTAGTGGTCTCTCTCTATTGCCATACAAGTAACTTTGATGTCATGGAAGAAAGAGAGAAATATATGGTTGTTATGCATAACAACGGCTCATAGTCGACTCTTAACATTTATTAAAGTAATTTTTGTTGCATGATGGTGAAAGAAAGGAAAGAAGAGTACGAAAAAAATATTTTGATACATTAGTGATTAGAGACCATATTATCTTCAATTGTTATAGGATGTATGCCCTAATGTAGTTGTCTCAGATTAAACATAAAAGGAAACCATAAAATGGATTATTGATTCGTTCGGATGACTTCTTTCTCAGATTATATCTGGGTCAAGGTTTAGGAAAACTAGACAGCAAGGATTTCGTCATTTCGGAAGGTGCGTTCGGAAGGTAGAGACCTCCCCGTATGGAAATCAGTGTTATACATTAACACCTGATTAATTAGGGTAAATCTAATGGGGAGCGATTAACCCGCCCCTCCCCCCTATACGCTCCCTCCTCTCCCCCTTCTTCCTCCCTTTCTTCTCCTCCTACTACCCCCTAAATTTTTAAAAAATAAAAAAACCAAGTTGGAAAAATTAATGTATAGAAATACTATATATAAAAAATATTTGAATTCATTTTCAAATTTAAACGGGTATGTAAACTTTTGACTTATAAACTTTGGGTCTATAAACTAATATTTGAATTTAAATTCAAATTTGAACGGGTATGTAAACTTTTGACTTATAAACTTTAGGTTTATAAACTAATATTTGAATTTAAATTCAAATTTTAAACGGGTATTAAACTTTTGACTTATAAACTTTGGGTCTATAAACTAATATTTGAATTCAAATTCAAATTTGAAACAGGTATGTAAACTTTTGACTTATAAACTTTGGGTCTATAAACTAATATTTGAATTCAAATTAAAATTTGAAACGGGTATGTAAACTTTTGACTTATAAACTTTGGGCCTATAAACTTTAGGTGTATAAATTTTATATGTATAGAAATACTATATATAAAAAATATTTGAATTCAAATTCAAATGAATCGGATATATAAACTTTTGACTTATAAACTTTATGTGCATAAATTTACTAAAATAGAAAAATAATGCGGTGCCAAAAAAGAAAACCATGTAGATGGAGGGAAGGGGGGACCGGCTGAACGCTAGGGGCGATCCATCGCCCCTTGGCAATCTCGGATTAATTAAGTATTAGCTTTAAAGTAACTTTTAAATATATATTTTTTATAGAAAAACATATGTTTAATAGTTTAAAAAGAGTATATGAAAAATTGGAAAAGTGAACAAAATCCCACTAAGTGTTAATGGGCCAACCGATAATTACTTTTGTTATCGGGCATTGGAAGAGATGGGCTTGCACAACGTGGAAGGATGGGCCAATGGGTGGTGCCAGGTCTATCGGCCCACGGAAAAAATACACCGAAGGTCCCTCAACTTGTCATCGGGATAGAAAAATATCCTCGAACCGTAAAACCAGATATGCGGCCATGCGGGATCCTTTAACTATATAAAACCGGACACCCGAGGTCCTTCGGTGGTTGTAACCCCTGTTTGGGTCTATGTGACTGCTGAGTCGGCGTGGAACCCACGTGGGCCCCACATGTCAGCGTGCCATCCTCCACTCTCTCTGCCCCCCTTCTCACCTTCTCTCCCTTCCTCCTCTCTCTCTCTCTCTCAATCTTGTCTCTGCAGGCCGCCGGCGGGTGGGGAGGAGGCCAGCGGGGAGCTCCTCCTCGTGTGGGACGGAGGGACGCTGCTCCTCCTTGAGGTGAGCATTTTAATTTCTTCCTTCTCTTTTGTTCACTTGTGGTGGATGTACATATGCATGCCGCCGCTGCTGCTGCTATGCCTCTCCTCTCTCGATGCATAGCCAAAGTTTTAAATCTCCGGCTAAGCCTCTTAGCTGCTGATCTTCTCAACAGCTAAGCACAGCTATAGCTGGAGATAGCTGCAGCTAAGCCATTTAGTTGTTTTTGCAAATAAATAAATAAATAAAAGACATGATCTTGGCATAACTTCATAACCATTACCAATTGATACATAACCAGTTCAAATGAGTACATTACAGGTTCATAGGAGTACATTACATCACAGGCTAAGTGGTTAACAGAATACTGAAACATCAGTTTCACAAAAGTACAGCATTCTGGAATAAAGACAACAGTACAACACAAAGGTCATCAAGAATTCTGGATAGTGGATACTAAATTACTAATATGAGGCAATATTGCAATCTTCATTTCTTCTAGTCATCAATCATCGGTCTCAGAGACATAGGGAGAGGGAGAGGGTGACTTATCAGAATCAGAAGTCTGCATTGGAATACCATCATCACAATCTTCTGAGTCGGATGATGGAGCTTCAGGATGCACTGGGGCATTGCGCATCAAAGACTGTAGGCTTCTGACTTTTCTCTTCTTAGTGTGCATATGCCTTTTCCTTTTAGCTGGTGCTGGTGCTTGTGGTGTTGTGTGCTGCTGTGACTCTTTTGCACATTGTTGATCCATTTCACTTCATGAAGGCACAACACCAGTAATGAATTCATTGTCACCATCTGCCACAACATCATCCACTTCCTTCTCTATAGGATCTCTACCCTTGTTCTCTCTCTTATTTCTTAACTTGGAGTTAAATTTAACAAACACCAGATCTCACATCCTTTCATGAAGTAGCCTGTTGCACTTCTTTGTATGAACCTATAAGCCAAGTAGTGAACACAAAGCTGCAGGTCAGATCTAAATTCCATAAATAAGCATTATAATTCAAAATAGACAGCATGCACATAAAGCTACAGGTCACAAATTTCTTTTTACCTGTTCAAAAACTGACCAGTTCCTCTCACAAGCTGAGGAGCTGCAGGTCAAACTCAAAATCCTTGCAGCCAACTTCCTAAGATTTGGTGTGCTTGTGCCATGGTTCAGCCACCATTTTGCTGCATAAACATTACACAAATTACAACAAAAATGATATTCAGCAATAAAATTAAGTTCACATGTTGAGATCTGAACTTGGATTGAAATTTTTGTTCTTTCGCTGCCTTACGGCAATTTCGTGTCCAAAACTCCCATGCTGATCTTGATACAAGTTGAGTTCTTCAATTATTTTGTCTTGGATATCTTCATCATCAACCAACTTGTCAATATAGGAAATCACACCTGCTCTAAATGATCCATCACTCTCGATCTCTTGCTTATTTGTGTAGTAGTAGTAGGGGTTCAAATAGTACCCAGCCAGGTGTAGTCGAGTCTTGAGCTTGTTGTCCCATCTTTTATCAATGATATCCCAAACTTCTATGAAGCGGCTCTTATCATTATCGAATCTCTGAGAAATTTCTTTCTTCGCCTCAAGCATTAAACCATGGAAGAATCCCATTGATGGTACATCGCTGTCCATTCTTCTCAACACGTTAGCCAATGGCTCAAAGTAATTAACTGCAATGTCAACATTTTTCCAAAAGGTTTCAGATCTGATCACTTTGCTGGCTTTCTTCCCCTTGGCCCGCTTCAAGTAACCCAATTGCTCCATCTCATCTGATTTAAATAGTCTTACTAACTCTTTTTTGTTGTCTAACAAGCTTTTTAGATTCAAATAAGCTGTGGCAAATCGTGTAACCCCAGAGCGAACCAAGTCTCTGTTAAGAAACTTTCTCATCAAATCCAACACCCTAGTATGAGCATACAAGAAAACAGTCACTTGTCTTGCATTAGCAATGGTTTCCTCAACTGGTCCAAGCTTCCCAATATCCTCGAGCATGAGATCCAAGCAATGAGCAGCACATCCATTCCAAAATATTGATGGTCTTTTTGCTGTCAATAGACTTGCTGCAGTTGTGTTGACGCTAGCATTATCAGTCACCACTTGGACAACATGTTGTTCCCCTATCTCTTCTATGTACCTGTCCACAAGTTCAAAGATATATTTGCCATCTTTCTTGTCACCTGAGCATTCCACTGAATCTAAGAAGAGTACCCCATGAGCACTATGCACAACTAAATTCATCACTCCCCTACCCTTCCTATCTGTCCATGCATCTGTCATGATAGAACAACCTGTGAGCTCCCATGATTCCTTGTGCTCCTTGAATCCATCCATCACCTTTTCCTTCCTTTTCTGTAAGAACGATCCACTCATCTCATAGGGACTAGGCCCTTTCAGACTTCTACCAAATTGTCTAATGGCCTCTAACATATGAGCAAAGCTAGGAAGGGTTACTGTGTTGTGTGGAATACTAGCTTCATAGAACCACTGACATATGTACTCACAAGTTCTATTCCTCCTCTCTTCTCTTTTCTGAGTTGTCAATGCTGTTTGAACCTTATTGCTTAGCTTAATTACTCTTTGTGTCATACTGGCAGATTCTTCTATAGAAGGAGGCTTGTAGTACTTGTCAATAGTATGACCACCTGCTACAGATCTAGAGCTACTAGATCCTGTTGTCTCCTTTGGCTTCACCACAAGAACATTATTGCCATGATCTGAACCTTCACTGCCACTTTCAGAATCTGAATTTTCTATGTCAACTTCAGCTCTGGCCACTTCCTTTTCTTTGTTTTTCTGTTCCTTTTCACTAGTCTTCTTGGTAAGCAAATCAAACATCTCTTGCTGCACTGGACTTGAAACTTTCTGACACTTAGTAGTATTGAAACCTTTAATTCCAGCAAGATGGTACTTAATTCTTGTAATTCTAGCAGTGCAGACCTTGTCACAATACTTGCACCGTAGGTGATGTTTCTTGGTTATGTCTGGGCAGAAACAGTGAGCCCATGCAGGATCATCTAAGTTAATACCAGCTTGTTTTGGTCCAGCTTCTACTGAGACAGAGGCAGCACTGGACGGATTACCTATACAAAAAGCAAACTTAGCCCACATTAATGCTAGCGTCAAAGCTGCCTAAGCATCAAAATAATGCAAACTGATATAGCACGTATTATCATTACCTCCTAAACAGGCGAAACAAGCAAACGAGAGATCTCAGGGAGTAAGAAAATAATTCACATATAGTAAGATCTACATCATAAGGCAAGTATCTGAAATTAGAGGTAACAAATATTGACAACTTGTTCACATATTGTAAGATCTGCAACATACAAGCAAAAAAGAGAGGAGGATGTGAGAACTGACCGGATTGTTGTGCCATGCCGTCACCTTTGGTGCTGCTGCTTCAGTGCTTCGGAGACGTTGCACTGACGGACCTCCTCGTCGGACTTGCGCTGCTGCTCAGCTGCCTTCAAAGCCGCCGCCGCTGGTTGGACGCCCGCTCGAAGCAGCAGCCGGCGCCGGTCGCCTCCACGAGCCGCCTGCGTTGGTCGATCCGCTTGAAGCCACCGCCGCCGCCGAACGCCTCTGCGCCGCCGCCGCCGGCCGCCTCCACTTTTCTTGCAGCTGGAGAGTGAGCGCTTCGAAGTTGGAATGGATAGTGTGCTGCTGGGAGCTTACGAGCTAGGGTTTGCAGCACTTTACCCACCTCTCGACTCTGGTCTAGTTGGGCCGGTTTCCTCTTGGGCCAGACCGGCCGCGTTTTACAATTTAGCTACGCTAAATTACGGTCAGTTTAGCGGCTATTGCCGGCTAAATGGCGCTATTAGCGTCCCGCTATTCTTAGCGTTAAAAACTGCATCTCTTAGCTCCGTCCGTTCCCAGCAGCTATCTCCGGCTATAGCGGCAGCTATAGCTGGAGATTTAAAACTTTGTGCATAGCTGCGAGCTTGTACGCAGAAATAAATGGTGGCGATTTGCTTTTGTCCCGTTGCCTGAGGAAATATATATGTCCAGGGATTGTATTTTTGTTTCCCGAGCTGTTTGCTCACCCAGACGGCCATGGCGCTCATGAAAGAAGCAGAGCGCCTCGACGTGCCCTTCCAGTTCAACCCGGTGGTGTCCCGCCTGGATGCCCTCGACGTGGAGTCCCTCCGCGTGAAGACCGGCGAGGTCCTCGCCATCCGCTCCAGCCTCCAGCTGCAGTACTGCCTCCTGGCGTCCGACGACGAGGAGAGAGGCGAAGCCAGGAGTCTGGGCTGTCCCCGTCGAAGTCACGCGCGGACGCATCGCCGAAGGTGATGGTGGTGACGAAGCAGGAGGCGAGCCACAACGCGGCGTTGCTGACGGAGCGGTTCGTGGAGGCGCTCAACTACTACGCGGCGCTGTTCGACGGCCTGGAGGTGGGCGCGGCGCGCGGGTCGGTGGAGCACACGCGTGTGGAGCGGTGGCTGCTCGGGGAGGAGATCATGAACATCGTGACATGCGACCGGCGGCGAGCGGCAGGAGTGGCACGAGCGGCTGGAACGGTGGGTGGGGCGGCTGGAGGGCGCCGGCTTCGGCCGCATCCCGCTCAGCTACTACGCGCTGCTTCAGGCGAGGCGGGTGGCGCAGGGCCTTGGCTGCGATGGCTTCAAGGTCCGGGAGGAGAAGGGAAACTTATTCCTCTTCTTTGTTTCCACATGGCGCGGCCGCCGCTTCGACTGACCGCCGCCGCCGCCGACGCCCCTCCCCTGCTCCCGCGTCGTTGCCGCCTTGCTCCCCCCCCCCCCCCCCCCCGCCGCCACCTTGCTCTCCTCCTATCCGTCCTGCCCAGAGCCAGAGAGAGAAGAGTGAGAGAGAGAGAGGATGAAGGGAGAGAAGGGAAGAGAGAGTAGGCTGACCTGGATAGACTGACACGCGGGGTCCACGTGAGTCCCATGCTGACTAAGCCGCCACGCAGGACAAATCTGGCTTCAATACTGTCCTAGGATCTCAGGTGACCGGTATTGTATTGTTAAGAGACCATGTATATAGTTTTGCGGTTGGAGGACTTTTTTTATGTAGCTGATAAGTTGAGTACACCTTCGGTGTACTTTTTCCATCGGCCGACACTAATTCACAACTAGTCGCGTGCACGGGCCGGTGCACGACAAGCCCGTGATTTTTCATTTTCGGCCCAGTGATGCCGGCCCGCGCGCACCATTTTCCATTTTAGCCCAGCTCGCGTGATCAGATCAGTTTACTTTTATATTCTCTCGTTTATTTAAAACCTATTAAATCGGTGAAATCTTGCCCGGGGTGAAATCAAATTAATGTGACATTGTCCAAGACTAAATTCCTTAAAAATTGTTTCACACTAAAGAAAAGGTTGGCGTCCAAATTTCTTTCGTTATTATATACAGTTCTTAATTTAATGTAAATATATGTCTAGCCGTAATGACACGGGCTTGCATATACAGTTAACGAGTAGCATCGTCCAAGTCAACGTCGGCGTCTTCGTACCATGCATGTATTAATGGAAGTCATTTTTTGTTACATGGGCTTCTATATATAGTCTTTTTTTTACAGTTTTTCATAGTCATATTTGAATTTACATGCTTACGGAGTGGCATATTACTTATCAATCTATCTTGTTAGGTTTATTAAAATTTGTTTTCATAATTATAACTATTATGTAAGAAACAGGTATCCCGAGATTTTAGAATATATATACTTAATTTCCCCCTTGTTCAGTCAAAGTAATGTACTACCGATAACAGTCTTTTTTTCTCTTTGCAATTTGCTTTGTACTAGTGACTGTTTGAGCTTAATTTTCAACATCACCAACATCTAGTAAGCAAGTAGGCATGTACCTATGTACGTACATAAAGACACAAACAAGTGGCAGCTCCCATCTATCATTGGTTATATTAGCCAACAATTAATCAACCACAGTCCATCAATTTGGAGTCGCCAACAATCAACCTGCGTCAATTTTAGTCGATCGCAGCCATTGTACCGATCGTTGCCTCCATCAAGTTGTACCCAACAATCAACCTTTACACTTTGCCCCCAATTTTTTGATAGAATTTGTATACATTTCAAAATTACCAAACTTTGACAATTATTGATAGCACGGTATTTTAATAGAACTTGCCCCAGGTGCGAAAATTCACCAAAAAGATTCATCACATTCACCAAGGAAAAAAAATCACCAAACAAATTCCTTATCAATTCTCTGCAAAAAAATTTGTCAGAAAAAAAGAGAGAAAGAAACAGCAAGGCATCGCTGGTCATTGAAGAGGAGCCACTCGCCATGCGTCGCTGTTGCCAAGACACGCTGCTCGCTATCAATGCAAACGGATCTGGTGGCCATCACTAGATAACCTCGACATCACCAGAATGGACTGCCTGCTTCAGCGACACCGTTGTAAAGGATACTCTAACGTAAAGTCACCCCTGTCCTGATATGGTCATTGATAGATGGGCCTAAGAACAGTAGGGTCCACATGTCAGCCACCACGTTTATCTGACTTTACGTCAGAGGTTCCCTATCCATGTGAAACATGTCTTCTCGAGCGCCAGCCGAGCCGCCCGAGCAGCGCCGCTCCAGCCATTTCCTGCTTAGCTGGATCGTGCGCCGCAGCTACAGCCGCCGCTTGCTCGCGGCCGCCTCTGTCGACTGTTTTGTGCGCTGCCACCGGAACCGCCGCCGACGCCTCCACCGCATGCTGCCGGAGTGGCCGCCTGCTCACGTGCTGCGCCGCCGCCATCAGCATCTGCCGCCTGCAGCCCTGGCTTGGGAAATTATAAAGTGGCATGGTTCAAAACTAAATTCCTTAAAAACTGAATCAAACTAAAGAAATCAAATTCACACTGCCAAAAGAAGAGGTGGTGCCCAGATTTCTTTCGTTATAGATAATTTAATATAAGTATACGTCTAGCCATGGTGACACGAGCTTGCATATATAGTTGACGAGAAGCGTCGTCCAACTCAATATCGGCGTTGTCTTTTTTCTTTACAACTCACAGAAATCATATTTTAATTCATGTATTTATCAAGTGATACTACATCACATAATAATCTATTTTTTTATAAAAAAAATTAACAACTATTTAGATGGTATATATCGATATAAGAAAACGGAATATCCTCGCATAGTTTAGAATACTTAATTTCTCCATGTTCAGTCAAAGTAATGTACTACTGATCAGTCTTAATCGTCAACCATATGCTTGTCTTTCTCTTTGCAATTTGCAATGTACTAGTGAACTGTTTGAGCTTAATTTAATTAGTTACGGATCAACATCACCAACATCTACTAAGAAAGTAGGCATGCACATAAAGACACAAACAAGTGGCAGCTCCCATCTATCATTGGTTATATTAGCCAACAATTAATCAACCACACTCCAACAATTTGGTGTCGCCAACTATCAACCTGCGTCAATTTTGGTCGATCGCAGCCATAGTGCCCATCGTTGCCAGGTTAGTTGTACCCAACAATCAACCTCTGTCAATTAGGCCTCTGCCAATGTTGCTTTTATCCCTCATCACGGGTTGTAAGGAACAATCAACCACGTTGTCAATTTGTATCTCTCTGTGCCGTATAGTGTTATCAAAATGTAGCTCTCCATAATTAATTGTGCACCTTAAAAGTGAGACTTTTACACTACTCCCTCCAGACTAATAATACTTATCGTTTTTGTCAGGATTATGGATACCACATACCTAATAAGTAGTCGACTAAATCTCGGCAGGACCCACCACATACCATGTCCCATATGGAAACAACCTGCGGATATAGGAGGAGTTTCGGATAAGGAAAGACAAACCAGAATTCTACATGGAAACGACAAGTACTACTCGGATTGTATCC